TCTCTCTCTCTCTCTCTCTCTCTCTCTCTCTCTCTCTCTCTCTCTCTCTCTCTCTCTCTCTCTCTCTCTCTCTCTCTCTCTCTCTCTCTCTCTCTCTCTCTCTCGCTTTTTCTGTCTTACCTCAAAAACGGACCTGCCTAATTGGCAAGCGATATCCGCATTTATTGCACATTTTGCCATTTTCTTCCTTGAAAGGAGACACAATGGACGAAATCAAACGCACTCTATGGCGGTCACGCATGCATTCGATATGTCGAACTGATATCAAGTCTTGTCGGTTCGTGCCGATGACGCGAAACTTAGATCCTCGAATTCCTTCGGATCCAAAGAGTCTCAGAATTACGTAACTAATCGCGGTAATATACCTGTGAATTTTAAAATTCGATCTATTTATTTCTTTTCTTTCTTCCTTCCTTCGGTTACTTCTGGCTTTGAATTCGTGTCGTTCAGACTCTCAAAGACCTCAGGATATCAAGAATCTAGACGCGCATTCATCGAAGGATGTAAGAATGTTTATAAGTACGCGAGGATATCCATAAGTTTAGCGATTTCAGTCAAAGCGATAGGAAAATCCGTAGAAACGGGGCTACAGAGGACAGTTACCGTAGCTAGTCCTTCCGCGCGATTTCACGACCAGAAAAATCAGTTCCACTTTTCGCGCTTCAATTTTCGCTCATCCGATGGTCACTTTACTGTCACTAGTAATCTCGATGAAGTATTACCTCTGTAATCGCTCTCTTCGCTACCTTCGACTGCATTAACTTTTAAGCTAGCACATTTCAGAGTCTCTCCACGCCTATTTACTACGTTGTAGAGGGCGACGTGCAAGCCGACGAAACAGGAGATGTTGGCGACGTCGGCGTCGCCGGCCTGCGATCTGATGCCGCGCTAGTCCGATTGTTCCCCAATAGGCTGTCGATGGAGAATGGATTCAACCTCTTCCTCTCCTCCCTGCCCTTCACCGACAGATCGATGCTGCCGCTTTGGACTTCCTCCTCGCTGGCGGCCTGTCTGATCAGATTCCTGGCGCCGTTACCGACCGGTTGGCGACCCGCCCCGACTCCCACCAGCTCGCGCCGTCGCTCCAGCAGACTCAAGCCCCAATGATGGATGCCTGGTTGGTGATTCAAGTGCTCCATCGATGGATTCTGCGGATTGTTCCGGAGCTCGCCGGTTTCGCTCGCGTTACTGTTAAGCGCTGGAAAACATTCGCCATCCACGGAACCGTCGGCTGCTGAATCCACTCGCTCGCTACCGCTTTCGCTGCAAGAATCCAATCCGCCGACTACGTCGATTTCCTCGTTGGCGTCGTTACCGGACGCGGATATGTTATTGCTCTCGTTACTTAGACCCAGTTGACCAAACGAGTTCAGGGGACCACTGGAGGAACTGCGACCCGATGCTGCCTCACTACGAGACTCCCACTCGGCACGCAATGTCGATAGGTCCACTGTTATGCCCTGAAATTAAAAGACGAAAGAATCTATATTACACAGCTAGCATTTAATTATTTACTCGTTTAGAAAATAATAATAAATAATAAACGAATAAGTATGCTTCTACATTTAGATGTAAAGATACTGTCTTGGAATGTTATGAGTCTATGCCAAATGCTAACATACAAAATCAATAAATCTTCATAGATATTGCAAAAACGTTATAAATATGCTTACAAGGTTATATTATAGTTACGCATCGTTTCGTTTGTATATCAAATTATTGAATTATTAATAAAATTTAAGAAAGGTAAACAAATATTTTTATTTTTGTTGCTATTATATAATCATCAAGTGTAATGATTTTGATAATATAAAGAATTTCCTTCTTCTGAAAGAAATTGACACGTTAAAGAAATATATAATAAGTAATAAGTAATAACGTAAGTACTTTGAAATTTTTAAATTGCGGAAGGATATTTTTGCGAGCTTGCGGCTTACTTTAGCAGCGAGCTTCCGCTGCTGTCTCTCGAGAGCTTTCAGCAACTTCTTCTGTCGCCTTTCGCGTTCTTTCCGTCTCAACTCTTCAGGTGGGATAGGTTCGCCGCTGCAGCTTTGAGGGTGAGCGTTATGTGCCGGCCTTCCGGGGCCCTTTTTCGTGTGTTCCTTCTTTCGCCATTTTGCTCTCCGATTTTGAAACCACACCTGTAATTGCAATGATTAGCGAAAGTTTAAAAAAAATACAATGTTCGATTATACTATACTTTTTAACGTATTGTTATAGTTAAATCTTTGTTTGATAAAAATTAAATAATCCCTTTTATTGAAGAAAATAAAGTTGGAACGATGTGCCTTCTCGTTCATTTCGTGAACGTCAATGAGTTTCGATCACCTGATTCAACTCACTTTCTATGCTTTTAAAAAAAGAAGATTAAATCGACTATAAGTTCACCAATTGACGAAAGTTCGGCGTTGTTCCCCATAGGTGTTGAATTGTAGCAGACGTTCGCCGCGTGGCGTAAATCTGCGGATCTTTCCCCGAAGCTTCCTTGCCCTCACCCTTCGTACTACGTAAAATTTCTCTGCGAGCTGTTTAAATCACAGCGCCACCTTCGCCGCGTCGCTATCAGAAGCGACACGAAGGGCGGATGCATTAAGTTCCGAAATTACAGGAAGGCTCCTGTCTCAGAACGAAGGACCAACGACCCTCCCGGGTGTCTTGATTCATTGAGGACGACAACCCTTTGCTTGCGTGAACGCTCGTGGCATGAACGACGATTTAGGGCTAGCGTGAGCCACGGCGCGACCGAAGGGTAGTGAGGGCACTCTCTCGAGAGGCAAGAGGAAATGAACAGAGAGAGAGAGAGAGAGAGAGAGAGAGAGAGAGAGAGAGAGAGAGAGAGAGAGAGAGAGAGAGAGAGAGAGAGAGAGAGAGAGAGAGAGAGAGAGAGAGAGAGAGAGAGAGAGAGAGAGAGAGAGAGAGAGAGAGAGAGAGAGAGAGAGAAGGGAGGGGAGAGAGAGGGAGAGTATGTTGTATACGTGTGAGAGAGAAAGAGAGAACGATGGGGTGGCCGTGGGGGAGAGATAAAGACATTAGTTGTACGGCCCGGCCGACGAGCGGCGCTGAGCTCGCGCGAGCCGAAGATCAATAGATCCCCTCGGCTCCCTGAAACACCTTCCTCGCATCACGTAGCTTTACGAGACTTTCTTCGACTTTAGGACCCCTCCCGAACGAGACCAAAGCGCTCGCTCGCCTCTTCACCCCGCTATCCGTGAATCCTCGTTACTCGCGATTAAACTTCAGGCGATCGTAATTAATTCGATTACTTCGACGGCTCTATTTAGAATCCGTCGCACGCGCTTTTGCTATTTAATTCTCTAGCTCTTCGACTTTCAGCTGTGGTTAACGTAATGTAACTGTGCTACATCACAAATTTCGAATCCAATCATATTTGAGTAGTTTATGATTATAATTGATATTTTCGCAAATAAACTCGTTAACTCTAATCTTGATTGTTTAACGTAATAACGTAATTTGTAGAAAAAGACAATCTTTGATGTGAAAGCGAATCTTGTCTAAATTAAACTAAATTTTTAATAAAATTGTTTAAAAGAAATGTCAAATCTAAAAAAAATTGTTACGAAAAAACAAGATATATCAACATCAAATCTAATTAAAAAAATTTTTTCAAATTCAATTATAATGTTAATAAAATAAATATATATAACATAATAAATATATATATATTTATTTTGTAAGTAAATCATAACTTGTAAAAAAAAACAATCTATGATATTGTAAAATTATCGCTAAAACAAGTTTTCTTACTAAACTATTTTTACTTATACATTTACTTAAAATAAGATTAAGATTCCAAAAAGACATCATACACACACACACACACACACACACACACACACACACACACACACACACACACACACACACACACACACACACACACACACACACACATTTATTTAGTTATTTATTTATTTCATTAATTCTGTCACTGAATTAATAAGACTATTTTCAATTAGATCTTATTGGATCTGATCCATTATATTTTCTCGGATTTTATTAAAAATGTTTACAGAAAGAAAAAACATTTCAATGTGACAGATTACTATATAAAACTAGAAAAGTAACGAATTGAAATGGAATTCAATTAATTTATCGTCAACAAAAATATCGTCCTTGTCGACAAATATCGCTATCGTTATGTCATCCGAAATCGTACTCATAAATCTCACAGAGTCGTCCTGCCTGCAGTTCAGAAATCACCGTAACGCACAGCTGTAATGCATTACATTGACACGATACATAAGAAACACGACTCGAGTATTAGTATAGCTATTCGTCAGGAATTATCAACGACTGATAACAGTTTAACAAGCTATTTCTATTCGATGAAAGCCGATCTCGTGTTCTAATGGACTAAATAACACAGTTTTTCTTCAGTCGTGCCGCAGCATGCGAGAGAGCATCGCTGAGAGGAAATGCAGCTTACATTGTAAGCGCACAACTGGCTCGACATACATAAAGCGTATCTTTATGACAGTAAAAACTCGAAGAGGCGACATCGCATCCGATAACCATAATCATCATACAGAGCCCGTCGGGAAGATAATGCATTCTAATGTGATTACATTTCCGTCAATTAATAAACGATGTTTTCCATGCCGCGCCGATAAGAGCGCTCTTACTTGGCCAATTAAACTGTTCCATACTGTAATTAACCCTTCGCCTTACAATCTTCTTGTTTTTATCATAATAGGAAGTATTCGGTTGGTTATTTGACAGAGTGTAAGAAAAATATAGAAAATGAATGTCAAGTGGAAGAAAACAGAGCGATCGTATCGTGATCTGAAACGTGCTATATTCAATTGTATTCTTCCTCCATTCGAAAAATAACGTCGATTTCGCGAATCGAGCTACTGAGTACGAACAATGGACTGTAATAAAATCGTAAAATAATTGCGTTACGGTTAGCGGAGATGATTGGAAATGGCCCAAAGTTTTACAAGCTCGCCGTTGCACCGATACCAATAGGTACCCGCCCGTGGTTCGCTGTCAGATGCAAATTATACCTTGATAATGGCGATCACATTCGCGAGCTCTTCTTCAGCCACGATAAATCAAAACATGAGTAGTTCTCGATGTTATGTTTATTATTGCGACACCGGTCACGATTCGCGCATATAATTTCGCACACGCGAAATCGGAACTGCGACGTCGGCCGATAACGCGAGATCATCCCGCCGCAACACCTATGCATCGTAAAATATTGATCGTCGAAATAGTCTCCTCAGTAGAATCCACAGATATCTCAAACCTCTCTTTCGATCAGGACGAAGGATCGAATCGGATTTTGCCGAACGAAGATGGCGGAGACGATAACCCGGCCGAGTGGTGACACAATGTGACACGATGTCACACAGCCGGTGCGTCCTTTCGAAGAAACTTCCCTACGACAGGGAATAGCTCTCAGATTAGATAACATCGATCACCATGTATGATAACCCCCATGAACGTATGTGCTCTTTCGGGCACATCTCTTCGGAATATCGCAACAAACAGATAAACGCGATCGACGATCAATCGACGTTATCGACCTGCGCCTGTGGTCGAATTTTGCACTCGCGAATATCATCGAGAAAATCATCTTTTTCTAAAAATATACATTCTATTCTAAATATATACATTTGCTACATTGAAAATTTTCAATTTCAAGCTTAAAAATCATGCGATTTTGAATTTAGTCCGACTCCGTGACATATTTACACGGATTTATTCAGTCTATGGCTATTAAAGATCGACGAGGCGATAGACACGAATTTAAAGTGACTTCAAGATCAAATTTTCGAGGGTCGACAGACAACCGAGGGTTGGTTCCGGCCTCGGACCTTTGCCCCTCAGCTCCGTCTCCAGGGGGTAGTTAGTCCATCTGGTACGTTACCTTCGAAGATCCACTCGAGGGTGCAAACTCGACACAGATTTATCCGCTCAGCGATCGTCTATTTAAATAATGCCGGTGCCGATAGTACGCCATTGTTCTTCAATGATATTTACGCAAGGGTCTCGCAACTCTTCTTTTTTTCATTTATTCATTTCTTCATTTATTTATATAATATCTACTTAAAAATTTTTTTTCTGATAGATCCAAGTTCAAATTTCACTTTTATTTTTTGATCTTTTTAAAACATTTATAGATTTTAAGGGATTGTATTTTTTATGAATTGAACTTTAAAAAAAGAGTTTTCGACTTAATAGAATTTTGTGATTCTAAGTAGCAGCTATAGGTGTTAAATAATATCAAAAGACGTAGATTTGACTGTTCAGTATTAAAATAGACGCAAAAATTCTAATTGAGATTAAAAGTAAAGAAAGAAAATTTTGAATTTACACCTATTTTAGATGATTTATCAATGTTGGATAGGATCTATATATAACTTGTGAATTGTGTAATATAAAAAATTTTTTAAAGAATCGGATACATAACGATATACAACATATAAAATTATAAGCATAAAACTCTTCAATCTGACGCAAATTACAAATTGTTTAGACCTATTTTACATCAACGTTATTTTAGCTTTAAGACTTAAATCTTTAAACTTGTTGCACCAAAGCAAAAATGCCTGAAACCTGCGAAACATGCTTGAATTTGCCCTAATCTTAATAAGATAAGCGCAAAATAAATCATTTTAGATGTTGCTTTTGCTTTGATACAACAAATTTAGAATTTTAAGTCTTAAAGTTAAAGTCAAAATAATATTAGTGCAGTCAGATCTTAAAGTCTTGAAAGCTTTGTTTAAACATAAAGAAAACTTTGCTTTGATAGTAGATGTACATTACTTAAAAAATTTTACACTCTGTTAACAGACACTCTATTAACTTTCCATATTTTGATACAACATAGAATATCTAATGTAAAAATGATAGTTTATAAAGTAGATCCTCATAAAGATCTATCACAACAAGGCAACGTGGGCGCGTGTCATTAAGGCAACACCGGTAAGAAATTGGCATTAAATCTGTTTGATATGGTTGACCTTCTTCCGGTATTCGGACAGCTTATGCTTGCGTTCGTCGAATGCAGTCCAGTCGAATCTTTCGACAGGACCGCGGGAAGGGTGAATTCTCAATTTCACGGCTGGTCGGACACACGGTCACCCTTAGATCCTTGAAGCGGATATTTATATTTATCCGCTTAGACACCGCATGCATCCGTTCTCTCCTCCCACATCGATGCATCTTCCCAATTTGCATATCTCGTCACTCGTTTTTATCCTCGCATCATACTCGTGTTACAAACAATTTCGACATTATTTTATCACTTTATTTCTTGTCCGTTTCTTTCGTTGCGTATGTATAATCAGGGAATCACGCGATGTTCGTACGTTATGCGCTCAATCGCATGTTTCTTTTACATTACAGACCTTTCAGTAAAATTAGAACTTTGTTTAGTGAAAAATAATAAACAGAAAATGTCAAAATAACGTTATAATTTTCGATAGAGATACTGGCTGTATAACAATAACAAAAAGGTTATCAAAATTCTGAAAACAAAAATTTCGTATATTTGGAATATCAAATAAATAAATCTGAGTTAAAAAAATTAAAGTTTAAATTAAACAAAATAATATAGGTTTTAATATTAAAAAATAATTACAATTAAGACTTCTTCATAAATGACAAAAATGTTTGTTTAACTATAAATAATACAACTGTTCCAGTTGTAAATCATTTAAGACTATTGACTATTGATTATTGACTAATAGTTGATAATGGTTTCATGTGTTAAAGAAAGAATATATAAAATGTCAATATACATTTTGCATACTCTAACTTTTAATTGTCATATTTTGTCATTAAAAATAATAATTTTTAGTCGTATTATATATAATTATTTAAATTTTAATAAATGTCTATTAATGACCCGGTGATAAATCGTTCATAATCTTTTTATTTTAATATTAAATAAATATAAATGTAATATAAAACTAAAAAATCTTTTTTGTTTTGCAGAGAAATATATATAAATTTATCCACTTAAGAAATACTTTTACTACTAATTCTAGAAGATTACTCTGAAACTTAAAAAATGAAAGTTAAATATTGCGATTAACAATCTTGCTTTTAAATATTTTTCAATATTATAGTTAAATAAAAGATGTGATATCTTACTAATAAATAGCATGATAGTAAATAATGATATATAATACTTACCTCTTTAAATATATTTAATGAATAAGTTCTTAATAAAAAAATTAAAAACAAAAGTGATTTATTATTAATACATTACAATTGGAAGAGTCATCTTATTTTCTGAAATCAAGAAATAATAAATAGTAATAATGGGCAATCTCGGCGAACAAAATCTTAGGCATCTAATAATCTATCTTTATAGAAATTTAATATTAAAAGATAAACAGTAACAGGCCGACGTTTTAAGACCTTTTTTTTCTGTTGTTTGAATAAAAGATACCTTTTTCGATGTACTTTTGCGCACTGAACACAAATCCGGCAATTAAATTGCTTTATCACATGTTTTTTAGATATTTGTGATTTTTTGCTAGTAAAATAAATTTTTTCTACTTTCATTTACATTTTAAAGTGCCAACTTTTACCTTTAAAACAGAACAAAATTTTTTTAACGCTGTACGTTTTTTCATCGAATTGCGTAGTCAAATAGCCAAGAAGAACATTTTATGCCAAATGTTTTTAAAAGAAAAATTTTAAGAACTGCGTGATGATTTTAATTGCAAGGTTTTTAAGGTCATTAAAATCCGAATTTGAAATCAGATTTTTCAAAATTCAAAATTAATTAAATGCAGATTAAATGTGACAGATCAAAAATTTGTCATCGGTAAAAATTTGCCATTTGCGCTAATTTAAATTTAGAAAAATATTGTTCGCAATATAAATTTTGCAATTTAAACATTTGTAAAAAAATTTCAAATTTAAATTAAGTAAAAAATTTGTAAATAATTTTAAAGCTTTAAGATACATCTACTTGACTAAAAAGATTGAACACCCAATAAGTAAATAATTATTTACTCAATGAAAAAAAAGTACGGCGTTAAAAAATCTATTTTAAAGATAAAAATTGTCAGTTTAAGATGGCGTAAACGAAAGTAGGAAAAAATATATCAAATCACAAATATATCAAAAAACATCAATTGTGACACATTTAATTCACTTTTCTCATAAACTTGACGTGATAGAGCAATTTAATTGTTGGATTCGTGTTCAGCGCATAAAAAATATATCGGAGAAGGTATCTTTTATTCAAACAACAGAAACCACATCGGTATAATTAATTACTTATTTTGAGTATTAAAAGCACTATTATTTAATTGTTTAATATTAATTTCCAGTATCATATTAACTAGTATTAAATAGTAATATTAAATTTGATTTCTTTAAGAGTATTAAGATTATTATTATTATATTATTATTATTATATTATTATTATTATATTATTATTATTATTATATTATTATTATTATATTATTATTATATTATTATTACAAAATTTTTTAAATTTATATATAAAAATTCAAGATAATGATGATCTATAAATTCCCATACTGTTATTTTTAACAGACTTATCACATAATGTCTATTCAGAGTTATTCTCGATTTATTACATCGAATTTATAAGAAATAAAAAACTAATAATTTAATAAAAAATTTTAAATTACTACAGATATCGAATAACTTAAACTAATTATATATATCAACTAATTATATCTAATTAATAATTTTAAAACAAAATATATATGCCCTAGATATATTATTCCAGTATTAGTGTTGTAATACGCAATTTTTCTGTATAAAAATCAAAATAAATTTAAAAGTTAAATAATTTCTAAACTGTTTGAAGAATGGCTTAGTTTTTAAGCCAGAAATGGCTAACCTTTCTGTCTGACATGCCGTTATGAAGATTTGATTCTTTGATGTAGTCTGCTACAGAATTAAGCAAAAATAGAGTCTGTAATCCTATTTATGCTTTCTTATTCAAAATCTTTGTCACAAAGTATTGTCTTTGTGACAAAGGCAATAATGAAATATAACACAACCCAATGCTTGTAGCGAGCAACAAAACAAACGCAGCCAGAAAATGCAAATATAAAAAATAGATTTTTGTGGAGTACAGTTATTTATCTTACTATATCATTTTTGGCTGTTTTTCTGATAGCATATGCTATTTTAGATTTGCCACTGATTGTAAGAAGTGGTACGCGTACCCCCCCCCCTGCCCCTCATGCCATTCCTATTTTAAATAGACACGCAGAAAAAATAGTGGAATACGAAATTTTAATGCTTTTGCTAATGTTTCGATATAGGTTTCGATATTGTATATACCTAAGTAGCTTTATAACTAAATTGAAAATCTTGTTAAAGTTTAATCAATTTGAGTTGATTAATTTTATGCTTCGTTTCGAAGTAAATCAATTGAATTGAATAGAATTGGTTACGTTGAGTTAGAATATATATATAGTCGAAATGTGGCGGTTAATCGAAAAGTCTAAGATTTCGTTATTAACTTACGTGCTTGTAATACTTTTTATTTTTAATTAATAGTTGCTAATGTTATTCTTTTTATTTTAATATCTGTTAACTGCAATCTAGTCATATCATGAAGTTCCTTGTGATATCAAGATATCAAATAAATAAAGACAGAAGAAGGAACTTACTGCCACGCGGCTCTCTTTTAGTTCGAGTCTCACAGCCAGAGCTTCTCGCATAAAGACATCGGGATAATGACTCGACAAGAAGGCCCGTTCCAATTCTTCCAACTGCCAACTGTTGAAGTTAGTTCTGCTTCTTCGTCTCTTGTTGCCGCCCTCATCTGACTCCCCGTCGCAACCTGAAAAAGAGAACATATATTCGAGATGAAATAAGCCTAGGCTAAGGAGCATATAATTCTGCATAAACATCTGAGATCCCGAAAATTATTTAAACTCTACTTCAAGATTTCCTTGAAATCTTTTAATTTTTGGAAAATTGAAAAATAAGATTTAACAAACATTCAAAAAACTGCTCGCAATTCCTGATAAACAGAGACATTAAACAGATTTGATGCTTGAAAGACACAAATGCTAAACACATGCGGCAATCAAGATAATGCTGCAGATTGCTAATGCTGTAAAACTCGAAGAAAGAGCTCGAAGGAGCAGAGGTCTCTAGGATCCAATACCTCGACGATTGGAGATCTAAAGATCCAACGCATGTCTAGGAAAGAGAAGAGCCGAGAGTAAACGATAAAACGGCGACATAGGCCGAACACCCGCAATTACTTAATCGGCGCGAGCTATTGTTGCTGCACGGCGGGATCGCGTAAGTGCATGTCTCGCAGCGAAAACAAATGCAGTAGTTACGCTAACCGCCGAGCAATAATGCGGCCCGTAGTTGTAACGGCCGACGCGCGCGTTCCGATAATGAAGTTAACCATGTAGTAAAGTGTGCACTCCTCTTCAATCTTCTCCTCCGATCGAGCAGCTGCACCAGCGCTCGCTTTCGTGCTCGCCACTTTGCCGATGTAAATCGATGAATTCGCGCGCACGCACACTTTACAAGCCGGTACGGTCCTTTTTGTTCGTGGTGGTGTCAAGCCGAGCGTGACGCGAGTAACGGAGAGAGATTATAGCGGCAATCATCATTGTTAGACATAATCTAACAACGTAATAATTCTTAACGCGAGTTCATACCTACGTAATTCCAGAGTTTCTCTCTCTCTCTC